AAGATTCTATTTCTTTATTTTTGGGTTTTTGGAATCAGCAAACCAGCTTGTTCCATCCCGTCTCATCCAATATGTTATATAAGAGATGTAGGGCCGTATTCATAAGCTAATTTTGAAAATAAAAAAAAATAATTGTGGCATTAACTAAAATAGCAATGCTAAAGGTACCTAGGTCTCGACCAATCTTAATTTAAGTAATAATTTTTCTTTTCTTAAGCCAAAGTCTCGTTTATGATCTCATTTGAGTCATAAGTATATAGGTACCTTAAGCAATATACTTATTCTTAAGCATCGACTATGAATACGACCCTTAATATTTATTGTGTGACAGCAGGTAATGTTTAAAACATTGATTCGGACACATACTAGTTGCGGACGAATTATTCAGGTTAGGAATTATAATATAACAATTGCGGACACGAGCTTCGTTGTCATAATACTAATTGCGTACAGAGCTTTTTTTAATAAAAACTACATTAGTTGTGGACACAAATATTTCCCTTCACCACTTTTTCAGAACTTATGACAATAGCTAAAAAAAAATTGGTAGGTGGGGTTAAAAATATTTGTGTCTTGCAAAGGAGCAATCGTTATTTTTAAAATGTTGAATTATAGATTGTTTTAATTTTGTGGAAAAAATATTTATAGATTATCGTCATTATTAATTATCGTCATAGTTTTTAAAACAGCCTGTATATGATATTCTACTGATTTCACCACGTGAATATTGTAACATTATCCGCAATTAGTATCTTATATTTGTGTCCGCAATTCGTATGTTACCTTTTTAGATTTCGTCCGCAACTCACATGGTTTTTGTCACTTTGTCCGCAATTCGGAAACACCGATTGATTCGGCCATTTGTGTGTTTGTACCTACATGTGTGTGGGAGGGTGGTGATTATACAAATGTATTATTTTACTATGTGAATTTTACTTTAAAAAAATAGAAGTTCCACTAAAATTAAATTAAATCTTTATCAATATTATATACAGCTTAATCATGATACCACGCCTTTTGCAGACAAAGCGAAAGTCGTCTATTCACCAGCTGAAGTTTTTCTTGCTTACGGTAAGCCCGGTACTCTGGATTGTCACTTCCACTCCAACCCGCCGCTGACGAAAATAAGATGGGAAAAAGACGGGTTCTTGTTCGACACTTACAACGTGCCCGGAGTTTACCACAGGCTAAACGGCTCTCTTTACTTTGATCGGGTACGAATCGATTTATATACATATATATTATGTACAGTATATGTACTAAAAATCTCATATCACCCCAAACATCTCATTGACCTTGAAATATTTAAATTTTAAAGTTTTCGAATAATTATATCTATGAAAATTTTAACCTAAAGGCGTAGGTAAATTTCTTTATACTTATAATAGATGATAGTTAAAAAAAGTTCTTATTTTATATTTTGATATACTTATTAGTTATTAGCCACGTAGATAATTAGGGTGATACCGAACTGTTGGAACAAACTGTGTGTGTATATATATATATATATATATGTATATATATATATATATACATATAATATATAATATACAATATTATATAATAAGTCATAACTTTACAAGTACCTACCTATAATACCTATACCGATTTTGAAATATCAAATATTATAATATGTAATAATACGTGTAACTATGTTATATAGGTACCTAATATGATATAGGATTTTAACTTGTGTCTTGTTAGTCTATTACTGTGTTATAATTATATGCACATTGCACTTATAATATAGGTAGAGAAAGAACACGGTGGTAAATACACGTGCACGCCATTCAATGAGTTGGGAACTGAAGGGGCATCTACGCCAATGGACGTGATCGTCCAACATCCACCGAAATTAATTGTTGTACCGAAAGTGTTGTACTTCCGTAAACTCGGAGACAACATCACAATGCCATGTGAAGCAGAGAATTTCGACAACAGAGGTCCGGCGATTGTTTGGCAGAAGGTATTACACATAATGCATAATATCATATGGTTTTATTTTCATTTAATTATCATAAATTAGTGTTTGGGCAACTTAGAGATTCGATTTTTATGGTTAACCATTAAATGGTTAACCCTATACTAGCCTCCCCTACTTTGTAAGTCCAGACATCACATTCAATGTCTCATCATTAGCACATGGTCTTATCCTAAAAAACGCAACGGCCATCAGGCAGCGGTAAGGAAAAAACTAGTTAACCTTAACACATTACATATCATTGTACCTATATAGTATCATTTTTTACTAATCAATAATCTATTTTAGTGGCTTGGCGTGGCACATTGTTTGCCTCCAGTCGCGCAACACGACTGAGAGTAAGTAACGCCCTCAACTACTAGCTCCCGGATGGGTGACTACCCGGGTTCTTACTTCTTAGTAGTGAAAAGTGTTAACTTAAAACCTTGCCACACACACACATATGTTGCTTACCTACCGTTATAACCGTACCAACCTTGCCAACCACAGTTCATAACCCCCACAACAGCTAATGGCCATAGACGCCGGCCTTAAGTTCAATAAAAAAAAAATTTATTTTAATGTTATCTCTAAGAGGGACTCATTTGATTTATTGTTAATTTAACCATGGCTGACTAAATTAACTTGCATAATTGTTAACTCTATTATTCGTAATTCGTAAATATCTATATTGTATTATTGTATATAATAAATGTTATTATTCTTTAATATTGGTTTTGAATATCAACTCTTCGTTTAGGCAAGTGCTTCGCATTAACTGAAGTCTGCAGCATACATAGGTGTAACAAGGGGGGGGGCTTGGGTGGGCTTCAGCCACTTGTACATTAAGGTCTAGTTACGCCGAAGGCAGTACACATATATTATAATAATATAATATACCTACCTAGCTACCTATGTAATATATATTATTAATTACTATCATTATTATTTAATTAAAGAAATAACAAAAACTATTATTTGTATATACCAATCTATTTATAGGCGGACGGTAAGAGTTTATTTTATCCTCGAGTGACGGTCACTGGCGGTAATCTAACTCTGACTGGTGTGAGAAGTGAAGACAGAGGTGTCTATAGATGTGTGGCATCCAACATCGCAGCTACTATTTCAGTGGAAACAGAGTTGATCGTTGAGGAAAACTTATTCCACCGTAAACATTTAGATTTACACGTAAATGCTACCAACAAGAATATCGTGGCTTACTGGAAACGACCATATTCATTCTGCACCGTTTGGTTAGTAACACTTGTTGTAACTTGTATTATAGACTATTAGACTAGTGTTTTCTAACCGTACCTATGTGTCAAGAGTTTGAGACCCAATTTTGGATAGAACCTTTTTTTTTTTTTTGATAATATCATATATTTATTAATTTATGTTCATAAAACATAAGCATATGTCAAAACTTAATATAATATAATATATTTATAAATAGCAGGGGGGGGGGGCAGCGATAAGATAGTTGCGAGCTGCACAGTATAATGAAAAAATATGTAAAAGCCAAGATCAGAAAAAAAAGGTTCTAAATTTAGAGAACCTAAATAACTAAGGTAAGATAAGATAACAAATGAAATAAAATGTAGAATCCGAAAAAATAATACATAATAACGTACAATAATGTCAGTTTAAATTTTGAACGGGATAATAATTATATCAGTAAAAATGTTTTGCTTCACGGTAAGACGCGCGAGCAGCATGACGCTAGCCGCGGTTTGGCCATTCCGCCTGAATTATGTAGTATATATCATATATGTAAATAATAAATAAATTATACTAATTCTCGGCTATCATATACCTAGCACTAGAATTTTTATTTTAAAAATGTTTCTAAAATTACACAAATTGGTACAAATATTTTGTTGTTACATCGAATACAGTACAATAACTGTACGTTATCCAAATATCATTTTCTAATTAGGTATTTACTTTTTATTTATTATTTATTTAATATTTTTATGTGTAGCTAACAATTTTTAGGCTTGGTAAAAATATTGAACATTTAATACAAGTTCTCACATAAGTTGTTAATTTAGCAATTTAAAAATATTAGAAATACATAGGCACAATTTTTTTTAAGTGTTTGTATTCAGATTTTGATACAATTCATCAAACCTACAAAAATTATCAAGTTATTTTGTAGTAACTAGTAACTAAATAATTTATACCATTTTCAATTTTAATAGCTAATGAAAACTCTATACGATAAGGTGTTCTTATAAAAAAAACCTAAAAGTTGTAAAAATACACATGCACAAATACAATATTTTTATGCGTAATGTATAGTGTATTGGATATTGTTATATTAGTATAACTATTGGTTGGAATCGTATGTACGTATAATAATAAATAATAATATATTGTAACAAATCTAGTAGGTACCGACAAAGACACGACGCGGCTTTTAATAATATATTATTGTTGATTTATAATATACGGCGTCGTTGTAGGAGTAGAGACACGAGCTCGGCATCGTCGAACTGGAACGCAACAGCGACGTCCAGCGACGGAAAAGCGATTCTATGGAATTTAAACACTGGCGGTGAATACGAGATAATGGTCACGTGCAGGGACGAGATGAGCGGTGAATCTATGTTCAGCAAGTCCATACTAACAAGTCGCTCGAAAGGTATATATAACTATATAAGTGTTTTTACAAATTACTATATACATCAAACGAAAATACGAAATATTATATTAACTACATTTCTGCAGTGGTTGATAATGAATTTACATGAAAAAAATGTTTAAAGAAGGTATAGCAATCGATGAAATTTACATGCGCCCGTTGGCAGTAGGTATACAGGTATACTAAATCTATACGACTATTGAAGTCTGTATATAAAAATGAATGTACTTTTGAACGAGGCTTTTTCTTTATAGACTTAGAAACTACGGAACCAATTGATATCTAATTTTGCACAGATATATTCTCCGATACCTGCGGGCTGGGGAGTGTTTATAGCACCTTTATAGGTTGCTATAAGCCAGCGTTTCCCAAACTTTTTCTCTGCCGGACCCCTTAGAGAAAATAAAAAAGATCGCGGACCCCTAAATAAAAATTGCTTTCATCTAATTGTAAAGAATAAAATTTACTTGTTTTGATATTTGAAATAAGCTGTTCTTTAATGTTTTCTGACATTTCAACAATTCTGTTCTTAACTGTATTATTTGATAAAGAAACCGTACTTAATTCATTTGATGCTTTATCTCCTAACATAGCAGAAACCATAATTTTTGCAGCTGGTAGGATCAATTCTTCAACGATAGTATGTGGTTTGCCACTTTTTGCAACAAGTAAAGATACTTGATAAGATGCTGTTACAGCTCTTTCATTATTAGTTCCAATTGCAGTCTTTTTAATTAATTTTTTACTTTGTTCTAATTCAGCTGCTTTCGATTCAAAAAATTGTTTAGATTTTGTAAGATAATCTGTATGTCTGGTTTGTAAATGACGTCGAAGTTTTGCTGGTTTCATGGACTCGTTCGATAATATTTCATAGCATATGACGCATTGAGGTCTTTCTTCGTTGTTTACATTTATATTCATGAAACCAAAAGTTATGTATTCTTCCGAAAACTTACGACGCTTCTTTACATGCGTTGATCCTTTTTTAGAACTTGTAGAATCGCCTTCATTTTCTTCACTCATAGTGGTTTCATTATTTTGTAACCAGCGTTTCATTTTAAAAAATAAATTAAATTAAAAAATATAAATTTTTACGTACAATTATTTTATAATATAAATTAACTGAAAGTATGCTACACTACGTATACGACGATACGGCTGCAACGAACAAATTTTTAATTTACGTTCGCGGACCCCCTCCGGTATACGTGCGGACCCCTAGGGGTCCGCGGACCACAGTTTGGGAAACGCTGTAGTATAAGCCATTAGGTGGCTCACCCATGAATTTCGTTTTTGCTCACAAAAATCGTACATTTTTATTGTGTATTTATAGGTTTGTCATACTGGTTATTGTCCAAATGTTTATAGATTATAGATTTAAAACTAGTCGTCTAATGTTGACGAAAAATTCAGAAATTATGTAAAATAGCTTGAACCACGTTCGAAATTATACTGAGTGCTATTTCCAATCCGACACAGGCAGTTATACCCATCTTGTTCGAATTACTTATCGGTTCATGAAGTGCGTTCAAAATAAACATTTAACTTTGGAATAATTTGCATAGAACAGAAAATTGGTACACACCTTAGGTGACTCATCCCTAATGAAATCTCAAAAGTCTCCATTGATCCTATTGCTGTTAATTTTTTTTTTGTTCAAGGTCAAAGGTTACATAAATAGTTTATTTAATTTATCTCTTAAACTTTTACTTGTTTTTGTAAAAACTACCCAAACAAAATTTGCAATCGAGTAATTTTCTATAAAAAACCTACATTATTTTTACCTATAAGTAATAATTCATCAGTTATTGTGATTTCAATAATTATAAATACACGTTAGTTAAAATGGTTTAAGTGCATAACCAGGGTAAGTGCGATTTCAGAGTTTAAAAAAATAATACCTATATCGATGGAGAATATATTTTACATCGTATTGTATGGGATCGAGAAGAAACATTGTATTCCGTCTTTGATAAATACATTCATTACGTACTACTAGATAGTTTAAAGATACTATCTTTAATGGTATTACGTATCAGTGATAATTGATAAGAAGCTATAATTAATATTCTGAGAATTTTTCAAGTTCATCCTCATGCATTGAAATAGTAAAATAAGGGAATAGTGGTAAATAAAGTACGGATATTTATCTTTTTTTAAATCACAATAACTCATGAATAATAAAATAACATTATTTCTAAGCTGTTTTTACGAAAACACTTAAAAGTTAATTTTGTGACCTTTGATCTCGAATTAAAAATTGAGCAGCAGTATGAATGAGGAATTTTGACATTTCATTTTTGAAAAGGTACTTATGGCTTGTACCAATTTTCAGCTATATGTGAATTATTCCAAAATAAACTTTTTTGTTGTCTATTTTGACCGAACAATACGCCGTGCCAATTTTCCCCTGAACTGAGGTATACACCATAGGCGGCGATTAGGCGGCCAAAATTATTAAACATTATTCATAGTATAAAATATTAAAATAGGTACTTATTTTATAACGATTGACAAAATCTTAGAACTTCTCAAAATATTTTTTTTTCCCGAAATGTTGTCAAAATAAATGTCAATATAATAATAATTATAATCGTCATCGGTGAGCACGGGCTGACCGTCACGACGGATTGTTATCGCATTATCGCAGTCGTGTTTCGTCTTGCGTTGTTCACTGTTGTCTGTTGTCTGTAGTTGTAAATCGTAATTTCGGTCGAATATAGTATAATATAATACAATAAAACAAAATATTTCTAAAAGTGTATTTCCCAACTTATACAAGCTCCTACAGGTAGCCATAACTATACCAATCAACTCGGCTACATGTGAGCGAAGGTTTTCTTCAAGACATGGCTACGCACGGGTATGCTGCAAGAAAAATTTAATAACTCTTCAATATTGTACATTGGAAAAGATATCAATATCAGTAGGTATTGAGAAAGTTATTGATATATTTTCTAATAAAAATTGATTTATTGTATTAAAATAATAAAATATTTATTATATTATAAATTAATAATTTTTAAAGTGCATAATATTATATAGTTAGTAATTCATATTTAGTAGTTTTGTAATTTAGTAGTTGATGCGTACTGAAAAGTGAAGGTATGATAGATATTAGAGTGGGGGTGTGGGGGCAAAGCCCATGGCTTACTTTGCAAAGCAACATTTAAGCCCCCCTCAAATTTGATCTAATCTCCGCCTATGGTATACACTAAACGACTAAACTATATATTTTGTTTATTTTTTTCCGGAAGAAGTCAAATTAAACAGCTATGTATTATCTAGGTAGTTCGTACTTCGTAGGTACTATACTAAAAGAATATATTATAAACAATATAAATAGCCATTTAAATTTGAATATTTCATTAGAAATAAACAACTCTAAACAAAAAGGAACAAAGTTTATCAAATTTAAAAGCACTCCAGAAAAAAATATTGTTATGGTAAAAATAAAGTTAATTGTATTCTTTCTATATATATAAAAATGAATGTATGTCAGTGTGTCTGTGTGTCCATGTTACCATGGTTACCAAGGTTGCCATGGTTACTAAGGTTACCAAGATTTCATATCAATCTATATATATAAGAATGAATGTATGTCAGTGTGTGTGTGTGTGTGTGTGTGTGTCCATATTACCATGGCAACCATATCTGTATATAAAAAACAGTAAGCTGATTGACTGCTATCAACGCACAGCTCAAACCATTGGACGGATCTGGCTGAAATTTGGCATACAGATAGCTATTATAATATAGACGTGCGCTAAGAAAGGATTTGCCAAAATTCGTATTTTAAATAGGTGCTGAAACAGGGACATTGAGATTCACGATAGAAATTGGAAATTTTATTTTTATTTATTTATAGTTGCCATTGGTTACAGTCTACATTAGAAATTAGCATTTATTTATTGGTTGCCATTGGTTATTCGGGCAGATCAGGTACAAGCTTGCATCAAATCGAATTATTGAACAATGCTTACCAGGGTGGCAGAGTTGCACTTACCGCAGAAAATTACACCCAAAAGGAGTTCAACAATCATAATTTTTTTAAGAGTTGCGATTTTTTACGAGCAACCAAATTTATTATATTAATCCACAGTATTACATCAAAATAAACTTGGTATAACTTTGATACTTTAGAGTTAAATCATACACTTCCGTACAAACAGCACGGGGTCCGCGATCTACCGCAGGTAGATTGCCTACCTGATAATGTACTGCTGCGATTCAGAATTTTTATTCAGGGCAACGGGAAAGATAAGATAAATTTTGAACACCATACACCGAATATTGAATAATGAATTGAACAAAGTTTGAGTAGGTAGTATTGAGTTGATCCATTTAACGGGCGATGAAGTGCACGGGATCAGCTAGTACATTATAAAACCCGACATTTTTCATTTGAAAATATAGGTTCCGGTCAATATCAGTCCCTAACCTAACCTTAATTTTTCATACTTTGCGATTTCTATTTTTCTATTAAACGATTATTGTTATTATTATATTCGTAGAATCCACCGGCCGGTCGACTGATGAGTTGCGCGAAAAATCTTTGAGTCTCGTCGTTGACAGTCTGCACCCTTTCGACATTCGAGTTGAACGCTTTGGTACCGGTTACAATGTATCGTGGACGATGGATAAGTCTAGCGTTGAACATCGCGTCAAGCGGTACGTGGTGAAGTGGTACGATGCGCACGATGGCTCAGAACTCGGGTCGGCGTCAACCGCGGCCAACAAAAGATACATAGGTAGGTGAGATTCGATGCATAGGTAATATACATATCAGATTTCCAACCTTTATTTGACATTTTTAAAACAAAATATATAACGCCGTGAACAAATATTATTAAAAGGTGCAATATTACAATATTATATTGTATTATTATTAAATTTAAACCCGTTGTGATTATATTATATACTCTGTTCATGTTAAGAGGCCGTCACAGTAGAAAAAAATCGACCGAAAAACATGCTTTCGTACTTCCAATAGTTCTCAGGCCTCGTTAATCGTAGAAACATGGTTTTGGTATCAAAATAATCACGAGAAGTTGTACTAAATATTCTTGGAACAGAATTTTAAAATTTTTTTTCTAACCAATTTTATTTGTATCTGAAGTTTGTACTATATTTTCATTTTTTTTTCAAATTATATAAAATCGACAAAATTAGATATCGAAAATCTGTTCCAAGAATATTTAGTACAACTTCTCGTGATTATTTTGATACCAAAATCATGTTTCTACGATCAACGAGGCCTGAGAACTATTGGAAGTACAAAACCATGTTTTGGGCAAAAAAAATACGAATTTGCCGTCGTCATGTGCTGCTAGAACGACTACAGCGGCAGCATTCCGAAATAGTACTTCTACCACTACCCCGCGTACATATGCAGCTGTACCGCACCATAGGTCAAAACTGGTTATTTATCGCAGCCGCGCACGGATTATAAATAGCCAAAAACGTCGATACGAAAATAATAATTCTGTCAATGAATAATATTATTTTATTTTTCGATGTTATAATTCGTATTCTTATTACTAGCGAAGTTTACGCAAAATGGAACTACATAATATTATATAATAATATTATTTATAACTAGCTGATCCCGTGCACTTCGTCGCCCGTTAAATGGATCAACTCAATACTACCTACTCAAACTTTGTTCAATTCATTATTCAATATTCGGTGTATGGTGTTCAAAATTTATCTTATCTTTCCCGTTGCCCTGAATAAAAATTCTGAATCGCAGCAGTACATTATCAGGTAGGCAATCTACCTGCGGTAGATCGCGGACCCCGTGCTGTTTGTACGGAAGTGTATGATTTAACTCTAAAGTATCAAAGTTATACCAAGTTTATTTTGATGTAATACTGTGGATTAATATAATAAATTTGGTTGCTCGTAAAAAATCGCAACTCTTAAAAAAATTATGATTGTTGAACTCCTTTTGGGTGTAATTTTCTGCGGTAAGTGCAACTCTGCCACCCTGGTAAGCATTGTTCAATAATTCGATTTGATGCAAGCTTGTACCTGATCTGCCCGAATAACCAATG